ATTATCCTGGACTCATCTCAGAGAGTTTGTGCTGGGCATGTGTGGAAGTTACACGGCACACGTCCAAATCTCCCATTCAGAAGGCTACCCACGAGAAATACTAGAATGGAAAAAGATCGCAGCTGCGGGTGCTGCAATGAAATCCACGGTGTCGCCTTCCCGCGTGACAGCACTGCAGCAACACAGTGGGGTTTTTTTGTAGAAGGAGAAACACCTTCTCTGAAACGGCTGAGGTTTCTTCTTCTATTTTCTCCCTTTGCATGATAAAGATATTTAGTTAATTTTAAAGGTGGCACTGTTTAATGTCCCGATTAACAACACTGGAAATCCCTCAACATACCGTTCTATGTAGGTTTCCTAAGTGATACCGGAACATGCTAGGAGGAAGTAAAGTAATACTGATCTCCTCCACAATACGCCAAATAAGCAGATTTGAGTTTGCTTAGAAAGTGCTGATAAGCAAGAACTGCTTAACAGAAAACCTATTTGAGTTCACACTCACCAAATGACAACCTAAAATTATTAAGAGAGAAAAAGGGAAGAATATACTTTTAAAATTTTTTAACCTGTTAAGACAAACGTGCCTTTCCTCTATTTCACACAATAACGTAACTCTACAGATAGAGACCGAGAGCGGAGACAATACTATGACCACATTCAAACACTTTTATAAAAAGAAAGAGGTTTTGGATTTTTGGTCCTGCAAACTCTGTTTCAAAATGGGAAACAATTATATTTCTAGCTTGATGATAAATTATTTTTCTCAGCCGAAACCTGGAACCAATCTTCTCTCATCAGACTCACTAAATAAAAGATCATCCAGCTGTCTTGTATGTGGTTTCTGTAGGAAAGAGTCACTCTGCAAGTCTGATTCATATCCAGTATGTATTTGTACATTAGGCTTGCACATTTCAAACATTCAGGCATTTTCAGACAAGAAAACAGTAGCGATATCACAAACATCTGAATTCCTCTTAAAATAATTTAGAAATGTCAGCGTTGAGCAATAGCTGTGCTCTCGTGTGCAAAGAAGTAAAAACGCATACTTGAACCCAAGATTCTCCAGTTCCTGAACTGTTATCTCCAGGAGAGTAAACCTCTAGAGTACATCTCCACATGACACATTTATCTGAAGTGGCTGCACACACATAATGATGGCTTTTGTTTAGTGATCATGGTCATTTTGAGTTTGTTTAAATACTGCAGCCGAATGCTTATAAACTAATCCCAGAACATTTTGAAATGCTTCAAAGCTTTTAGCGGGGGAACCTCTTGCATAGGCTTTGTAGATGAAGCTGACCACAGTTCACTGGAACCAGCCAGCTCGGATAAGTAAGATGAAAGCAGACATTTCCTGAAAATATCTTGAAAGCTTTCCATTAGACTGTACCAGGGGTATACACTAAAACCAGCAAGTGCCCGTGCTTATGTAGCAAACAATCTTCCCACTGCTTTCTCCATTCTTTGTTGAACTACTGTATTTGTATCTATTTATCTGCTTCATTTGATGTCTTGCAAAGTTCTTTGGGGGAAAAGGATGCAACTGCTGTATTCTAGTTTACACTGCATTATAAAGCAGCTATGACTAGAACCAAAAATTCTGCTTAAGATACTAAAGATTGCAACAGGAAGTCACAGAAATCTACCATGGCCAAAATTATTAAAAATAACAAATAAACAAGAAATTTGATCTACAGATTATTTTAAAGAGTCACCTGCTCCATGATAGGCATGAATACAATTTGAACATAATTCTCTGGCTGTCAAAGTGTACTCTAAGAAGGTCAATACAGCATTGCTGAATGTGCTGGTCATAAAGATAGGAGTGCCTCAGGCTAGATTTTCAATAAAGGCCGAGACTGGCTGTTCATATTTTATATGATAATTTGATTGAATAAATTCAGCTGTTCACTAGGAACAGGAAATGCTCCACTGTTGCGATCTCCAACATTTTATACTTTGAGAAAGACAGTCACGCTCTCCAGTTTCAGGCACTTTATTTCAGAGCAATGAATCAGAAGCCCAGGTTTCTTTAATAGTCCGTAGACTCAAGTGCACATAAGTACTTTTAATACCTTCTCGACCAGCAGACTATAAAGAGAACCTAAGTCTAATTTAAGCACCAAAATTAAGTATTATGACTATCCCACATGCTGTATCTTACAAAGACTTAATATGCACACTCCAGTGAAGGGAGGATAGCATTATCGTAACATAATACAAAGTATTAAGCAGTGCTGACACTTGAATTCAATACAGCAGTAATGGTAATAGTTATTCCGCCCAGTAGCGTGTGAGAAAAACGGTCAGGGCACTCTGAAAGTGCACTGTGGAGTAAGTACACTGCTTGAGTCCTCAGCACACGCTAGCCATATACAAGAAGGAAGTGGTGAGCCACAGTATCGATGCACAAAATGGGGTACAAGCAAAGTCCAACAGTTGCTACTTTAAACAAAGCAACCCTGCCCCCTTCCAAACAAAACACAAAATACTTGAGGTCTTACTAGTTTCTTTTGAGGTATACCCTGAAATCCCATGCTCGCTTTGCCTTCTGTAGTCTCTGCTCTTATACTTCCCACACCCCAGGTACCTGTAATATGGTCTTTCATCCTCCCGGAAAGAGGAAGTATTATCCTCTTCCAGGGTCTTGCTTATGCTACTTCACTGTTTAGCGTTAGGAGTAAAACAGCCATCCTGTGTTTGGGACCAGGTCAAGACCTGTGAATACATATTCTGACAAGGTTCTCCTCTTCCAGTGACAGAAGCTAGTAACGAGCCATTCTGACTCGGGCCCCGTAGAGCTCTGTGATCTAAATGACACTACATACACTGCATCACCTCTCAGTATAGCTACAGGAAAGCCAGCAAAGATTTAACAGTGTAATTCTTTTTATGAGCAATATTAGTAAGACATGACAGATTCCTTGACAGACTGCAGGAGGTGAAAAAGGGCTACAACCTGAGGACCTGCCTGCAAGGGGTTGTCCAAGTCCTCAGTAGCCTTTCCCTGCACACTTCTGGCTTCCACTAAATATTCAAGTTTGATTAGAATTCCCAAATAATTACATGTTCTGTTTTAATCTTCCTGGAAATGATGCAACACTCATCACCGTCTTAAGAGCAATCTTAACACTCATTCTATCCCACCTACATTCTTCCACATCCTCTCCTAAGAGGGGGCTGAGAGAAGTTGTTCAAAATCTGAAGATCATGAGCTTGCAAGAACCTTACGGTAAGCTGAAGTCAACAGTTTTACTCATGATTTCACTAGAATAATATTAGAAAGAAAATCTGCTCTATTTTAGGATAAAATCTCATTAATTTGTTTAGGGGTGGACCCTTGGGAAGCAAAAGGAAAAAGAGACTCCGTTCTCTGCTTCTACTGATTGCTACCAAGACTGCCTGCTACTTGTATGACATTTTAAAGCAACTGTAAAACAATCACTAGGTATGTAAACGTTTAGAGCTCACCATATGCGGAGAGACCAGCAACATATTTTAACTCCTGATCAAGAGAGTCACCATTTCCTTAAATGTACAGAAACTACTTGAAAAATTCATAAGATCCGTTTCACAAATTACCAATTCAACCATAAGAATATATAGTAAAAATGACAAAAGATTTGTTCTTATAGTTGATAAAAAATTCATGCCAAGGCATTCAAGTAAAGTTACTTTCTGTGTTCTGATTTAATGAATCATTTGAGCGGTATCTGGCTGGGTGACACAGATGTAAGGCTCGCTGAAGCCTACTCTAATGCCTGCTGGTATAGTCTTCCTTGGGACAGTAAAGCCAGAACAATGTGTCAGACTGAAGTAATATCAAGGAAAGTAAGTGCAGTGCTGGGGATGCTAGGAGGTTGGCCCACAACACTTCTTGACCTGTGAACGCCTGTAAGTACTTCTCTGTCCTGTAGGCTCCAATGACCCAGGAAGCCCAAAAGAAGCAGCAGCAGTGCGGTAATATACAGTCTCTGGGATAAGATTTTTGCAATCTTGTAATTCAAGCTGAAAGACATACAAAGATTGCTTGATGGCTTCACCCTACTGAGAGGCAGGGCCTGACACTGTGTGAAACCACCAGTGATTTCTTAAAAGGTGAACTAATGTTAAATGTTTAATACAAATTTGAGAGAGAACTGTCCATTTTACACAGTGCAATGTTTAGATCATTAACTTCAGAAACGTACATGAATGTGGAAAATATAAATTAAGGAAGTTACTTGATGCATATGACTACAGATTTATAGATCATGCCTCTGTGTAGAAATTTACTGAAAGACACTGTAATAAAATCAGGCTTCCCATTAGGAAAATCCTTGGAAAGAATTTAATTCTACAGTAAGCAGAACAAAGCTAAGGAGGACTGTAGGCACTGTAGTATCATAACCTTAAGCAGTAAAGCTAATCCTCATAAAAATAAAATACTGGGTCCCAGTATTCCTTTCAGAAATTTGGCGGTTGCTAAAAAAGCTTTCCCCTCTCAAAGAGGTTTGCCAGAATACTCAAACAAACGTATTTAGAAGCACGCCATATCATTATGGAAATAATTTGACTTTAATTGTGAAAGTGAAATCTTTTAAGAAATTAGAAGTAAAGTGAGAAATGAAAAGTGTAACAGTTATGCCAAATGCCAGTAATACAATACACGTCACCTTGTCCTACTGTCAGAGAGGGGAAGACTGTCTGTCAGCAGCAAATGGAAGAGAGTGAAGTATACTCCTTCTTCACCCCACCAGCCCTCTTTAAAAATCCCCAAACCTTAAATTTTCTTTTTTTAACATAACATGAATTTTATCCATTGTTAACATGCTGTTGCAAGTGGGACAATCCTGTTTTGTCAAGAGAATTTAGTTCATCTGCATGAAAAAATAATTCTGTTGATTCCCCAGTTAATTTAAAGAAATCTTCCCCTCCTTTTATCTGAAAATCAAATCTTGTCTCAATAGGCCAGTTAACACAGTTGTATATGAGAATATTTGACATTAAAGGGTACTTACACAGATAACAAAACAATAGCAATTAGAGTCCATTCAGGCATTTTGTGAATAATATTTCTGTTTGTTAACCTGAAAAATAATAAAAAAAAAATCAGAACATTTCAGAATGAAAGTAAACAGACTTTAACTGCTGAATGTTGATTTGTCTACCATTGAAAGACTTAATACACTGAGTTACAACATAGCAATTACAGCTGTATCTGAGCAGTTCACCAACTTTCAGGCTTCCCTCTCATCATCCTGTAATGGAAGAATTGCAGAATTCCCAATATGCCTCTTTTTTTCTATACAAAAGTGGGATGGGGAAGACCAAACAGAAGCCAATTCTTTGAATTAGCTTGCAAATAGTCCTGCCTGCTACGAGGGCTCAGCTCTCACTCATATCCACTGGGAAATTCTCAGGAGCTGCACATGCGTTTCTGAAAAGACGGGCCTTCCTACACTTAGTTTCCCCCCCTGTTGGCTTCAGATCCAGATTTGCTGTAAAAGCTAATGTTGCGGAAACAGACTAGATTTTATAAGATACAGGAGACAATCCTCTGATGATTCTTGTTTTTAAAATGGAAACCCGGAATTCTAACTTATGCAATGGGAGCCAGTGCAGATGTAAGAGCAAGAAAATGAGGTGTGAATCAAGAACCACATGGGTGCTCGACAAAAATGCTGCTGCATTTTATACCTGCTGACCCACTTGGCTGAACTGCTTAATAAGACAGATCTGCTTTAAGTCAAATGTTAATCTGACTTAAAACAATACACGTGTGAATTGCTATGGCTGAATCTAGGCATGACCCATGGTGTCCAAGACAAGCGATTTCATGGAAAAGTCACAGCTAAAAATGAAGCTGTGGCTATGCGGGCACCCAAAGAGGCTAGCAGAGTTAATTTTACTCAGATCGATGGTGCCATCCAACAGAAATACTGAGGGGCGAGTGCCTCCCATTTGCCTCCTTCTTGCTCTCTGCTTCCCTGCTATGCCTTGTATAAATTCAAATCCAGAATGAAGCTACCCTGTCGTTCATACCCACTTCTACAGGCACTGGTGAAGATGGGAGGTTGCTTAAAATGAAAAACCTGGCAACAAATTAAAATCCAGGGTTTTCTTCCCCAGAAAGATTTTCTTTTTTTAAAAAATTTTTAATTTCTTTGGAGAAGTATGTAATTACCCAAAAAGTGTTAAGAAGTGGAAAAATAAAAGTATTTATACTTGCCATTGTTAAAATTCAAATTCTGTTAACTAGTTTCCCCAAATTATATTAAAGATGGTCACTAAAAAGGCAGTTATGAATCACGTTTTATAGGATCATTTTACATTTCCCTATTTCAAAAAGGTATTAAAAATTAATAAAATTCTTTTTTTATTTAAGGATATTAAGTAATCATTATTTAAGTAATGATTAAAGCATTATTATCCTATTTTTCTCCTCAAATATCCAAGTCTTCCAACCAAAGCAAGATTTTGAAGCAATGATTACTCAAATAGTGTCTCAACAGCCTGAGTTTTGTTAAATGCTGAAAGGAAAAGCAATGTTTTGTACTACATGTTCAGGAATTGTCGCATCAAACTAAAACCAGTAGTTGGATTAGATGATCTCCTGAGGTCCCTTCCAACCCTTGCCGTTCAGTGATTCCAGCAAATACAGATTATTTTTATTATTAAAAGGTTCATGTTTCCCAGTTACTATTTGAAATAGCTAATGGTGTTAGCTGGCAACAAAGCTTGTATCTGGTAAACAGTTACATTTTCTGGCTATAGAACAAGAGACAAAACAAAGGCTGAATGTCTTGACTCAGTACTGATGACAGTGATAAACACTACCAAGAAATGCCTGATGGAATCATCTTGACAAGCAATTCATATGTAACATTCCAGTTAATCTGCTATGATGAGACACAATGGAAGAGACAGCTCCAAGCCACCTGGGAAAACTCTGTCAAATAGAGAAAGCAGCTTTATTTCAATGCTCTACAAGGAGTTATTATTGATTAGAGCAGAGGAAGGTGTCATTCTTGTACACAAACTGAGAGATGCAGTTATTTGTGTCAATTAACTCTTATTCAATGTTAGTATTGATTGGCAAGGTCTGAACACTAGTCATTGCCATCAATATGCTATTTATGAAGGAGGTAGTCAAAAGACACAGATAACCAGCAGGATACGGCAATATGGATCTGCTGATGTACTACTGTCACCGCACTGGATGAACAGTCGAGTCAGGCTTCCACCATGAGTAACCTTTCAGTACAACACCTGTCCTAAAGCACTCCTGCTGCTGGAAAAAAAAAAAAAAACCACAACAAAAAACATTTCAGGCAGATCAGACTAAAGCTAGGAACCTACAGGTGTGAAGCCTTAAATAATAAGGAGCAGTGGAAGGGCAGTCACTTTCAAAAACAAGCTGTGTGTCAACACCAAGGCCTCTGAAGAGCAAAGCTTTCAGAAAACAGGGCAGTGCAAGTCCTCTGTAAAAATGGTTCATTAATTCTTTGTCTTGCCTCTAGCCAAAACTGTTACTTCAGAACAATCCATGAAAGAGAGGTCACTAGATTTCTGTCATAAACACATCATGTCAGATGTTAAAACTCTACAAAACTTTGTGTACGTGATTTGAGTTTTGCAGTGAAATATTTTCTGTTAAAGAGTTTGGCTAAATTCTCCCTCACCTACCCAAAGAAAGAAAACAATATGCAACTTTTCAGAACAGAATGTCTCTACTTTCTTAGCCTCTGCAGGGCAGGATAGGTAAGCCGAGAAGGTTGGATGATCCCAAATAGCTGTGTGGGTTGCTAAGTTGCAAGTTTGTGGGCGTTGTGGTTCACCCCAGGAAGATGCATTGCAGGACTCATGCAGCAGATTTAACACTCTGTGAAGGAGCTCAGACTGAGCAGATGGATCCAAGTGGCAGAAGCCGACAGGATAAAGGACTAAAGAATAAGATGCATAAAAATTCCATCCCAAATGGCCTCCCAATAACTGACTAGTGCCTAGCCTGCAAAGAAAGTGAACTCCGGTACGGAAGTTGTAGGAATACAGAGGAGTCCAAGGTTAAAGTAACCAGTAAACAAGAAAAGTAAACCCAAAAGTGATAGAAAAAGAGCACACAGAGCTGGTTCTATTTCTTTTCCTTTAGCTGTCTTCCCATTTAATTACCGTCAACTGCAAATTTTGCTAGCAGAACTCCATGATGGCCTGATTTGTAAACAGCGCCTGCTGTGGTTCCTAAAAAGTTTGTTTATCCGTACAATGAGAACATACATGTCATCTATGAGCTCAATTTTTAACCCGTTATTATGAATTTGACCAACAGCTAGTAGCAATGAGTTATTGGTACTAAATGTACATTTGGTGAAAAAACGTTCCTTTGAACAGGTCCATGCTTGCTGTCTTTCAGTTTTACCCAGCATGTCCGTGTTCTTACACTGGGAGAAAAAGGAAAAAAACAAAGTGTGCCCCAAGTGGAGATTTTCTTTCTTTCATTTTACAATTTATCTTTGTTGCAAAATGAAGCAGCCTTTTTGTTCACACATCCAGATGCCCAGGTGTAGGCATATGTAACTTCAGTTCAAGAATCTGACCTGTTAGTTTGGCCATTTGTCTATTTGGTAAGGCAGCAAGCTGACTTCATGGGATGGGGACATGAAGTTGTGACTTTAGGGGACCTCAGCTATCTACAGTTTTTCCAGAACTTGCACTAAGATGAGCAAAGTTTAACTAACCCAGGTCAGCACAGGCCAATAGTAAGGCATAGACTGTTTTTCTTTAGGCTTCAGCTAGCCCAATTAACCATAAGGCTTCAGCTAGACAATTGACCATAAAAGACAGCTAGCTCCTCTACTCCCTGAGAAAGAGCAACATATTTATGTACTGTAGTATAATTTAGTTTGATAACAACCAACATAAATGAGCTACTATTATAACTTTAGGCTCTCTTCAAGAGAAGCCCATTTACTTCAGAAAAGGTCATTAATGTTCTGGTACTTTCGCATTTCCATATGGAACCTCATCTATGACAAAGTATTGCTAACTGACTTGAAACCCAGAACCTAAAATTCCACTTCACAAGGATAATAGGTAAAAGCCTATTAGTGAGTGTATATGCACTAGATAACATTCTCTCACAATACATATTTAAAAGCTAAAATACTGTCTCGGAAACAAGATAAGACAAAGCTGTAATAAAAAGTCTTGAACAGATCTTTAGGTAACAACTATATCATATTCATTGACAGAGTTCAATGCCAATTATAAGCTCCATAAAGGGAATTAAAATACTTGCAACCCTAAATATGGATGAAATTCTATTTTAAATATGAAATATTACGCTTAAAAAAACCCAACCGCACATTCACAAACATGATCACTTAGCCTCGATTTATATATAAATAGCTAATTTTCTCTTGATCTTTTAACAAAGTGCCCTTACACACTCTGGAGAATTATTTGACATCTCAGTTTTCGTAACAAAAGCTTACAGGCACTGAGGGACTTTGTTTGGGAAGAGCTCTAACCATTCTAAAATGTCTCTTGAGATACCGCTAGTGCGTTTCCCAGCAGTGGTGATTGAATAAAATGCTGCCCAAAGGAGGCTGAACTGCAAGTGTTCCTTTAAAAATCAATGGAGCTGAAAATTGTTGTTTCTTAGTTCACCACATGCTCTTTTACCCTTCTTCAGCTAAGCTCTACTACAGCCATGTGTTTTATCTTCTATCCTCTTTGGCAAGTTCTTCAGCATGAAATATTTCCAGTACAAAAAGCAGGAAAGAGCACTAGCATTTGTCAGTGCTCCCTGCATAATCATTAAACATTTCAACCACGTTAACAAAGTAAGTAACATTTAAATTTCTATACCCTGCAAATATAAATACTATTTAAAATCTATCCCAGGTCCCCCTGCCAAAGCATTCAACCTAAAATCATTCCAACCTAATACTCATATTAAGTAAATTTAAACCTACGCACAGAACTGGAGATTCAAAACTATGCCTTCACCTTAATATGCATGAGCTAGCTTTTGTGCATCAACAGACCCTTCCGTATCAGAAATGCAGGAAAGGGCCCAAAGGTTTTCATTGGTTCTCTGTTTCCTTTATTTTTGTATTACTTTACTAACAGTGACAACAGAAGTCCATTTATTTTGAGAGAGAGAGAGAAAGAAAGGCACTTACAAATTCTTGCATAGTGCCCACAGCTGTCTTCAAACATCCCCTGCCCAAAGCGCAGAGTTTCTAAGCAATTTATCTGGAATCCTCATAGCAAGAGAGCCCTAAGAACTTGCTACCATTACCTTCAACTTACTTCCTAACAAAACAAAACAAAAACCCCAAACCAACCAACCAACCAAAAAAAGACTTAAAAATAAACTCACAAAGTGTTATCTGAGCAATCAGAAATGTATCGGGGAGACTTTTAAAATATGATAAATTATTGCTACACGAGCCAGGTATTGGGATCAAAGTCCAAATTAATTAGATTTGGTTCCACTCTGTAAATCCATGGGTGTGTACATATATAAGTTTTTAGAAGTCCATTTTGGCTTCAAGGCTCCTTTGCTATAAACCACTTTTAAAATTTCATGTTCAGGCCACATTGTCTTTGAATAGCAAACATTATTTAAAATAGAAGTTCTACTTTTGAGAACTTTCAGGACTTCGTACATAATCAATCATACAAAAGTAGATTGAAAGAGACCAAGTGTAGTTTTTCCAGTTCTATCAATCCATAAGCTAAAGTGACTATTAAGCATTTAGACTGCAGAGCAACAAAACTGTTTTAAGACACAAAGATCTTATTCAAATAGTAGGTATATGTACAGTATATGCATGCTGCTCCAATATAACCAAAAATATCTTCCCTGGTTTCAGTGTTGTTATTAAAATAAAAGTTTAACAACTTAAAAGACTGCAATTACAGAATCAAGTTCAAACACTAACAATTCTTTTAAATAAAAGAGGTCATGCACAGAGTCACTAGAAAGGAAAAGAGTATCCTCCATGGTAAGAAATCCTGCATATAGAGATCTGTGTTTTAGTGGTGTTCTCCCAGATGTCAGATAAATCATAAAGAATCAGGTAGAGCTCGGCTTCTGTTCACCAAAGGCTTGATTCATTGTGGCAAACACCACATGAGTGACTTTTGGAAAATTTACATGTAAACCTCATGCAGGATGTGGAGGGGAGAAGTTTCGAGAGTGACAACATACACAGAGTTAGCAACTGTTGTTGCTCCTTTTCCTGACAATACTTCAAGATGCAGGACATGATCGAGGTCCAAGTTATGAGAGTTGCATCCCAAAGAAAACCTAAAAATGTTCAGAGAAGTTACCACCGTTCTGTTTGCCCTCCTTCTTTATCCCAATGTTTCTAGATACTGTCCTTAGTGCTTCTGAGTGAAGCAGAAGCTTCATCTGTGGTGATAAAGTCTCCACTAGATCTATTTCCCCTTGAAATCAAGAATTGCACAGGTCAAACTGGACCTTCTTCCTGGCTCTAGAAGTTAGTGGTACCAATTATTAACCACATTACAACCATTTAGCCTGGCTGTAGGGAGCCAGAGCAAAAGAAAGCGACAGATCTCAGAAACTCACGCTTAATAGGAGGTGACGAGGTAGCAGAACCTTTAAAAGACTCACCATCATCCTCCGGAGACCACTGGCCTAGTTTTTAAAAATCTACAAATACTCCTGGTGACCTAGCCACTGGCAGGAGCAGGGAAAGGGTTGACTTGTTAGTCCACAGGGAATGTGGCATTACCTACATGAACACACAGCTAGAAAAGGGCAAATCTGCAGTGGGGCCCTTTCTGTGCCCAAATCACAAATCATTCAACAGCATGTTTAATTAATCAATCAAGGAGAATCTCTAAATAAAGACCAGTACTCACCGGAAAGTTTTGACAAGGTTTTTTAGCTCTGTGTAAACATCACCTGGAGTAATCTGAAGAGGGCCCAAAACTGCAGGTAATCTGGAAGGCAAAAGACCCCGGTCAATATGCATTTTCCTCTCTTCCTCATTTCTTCTCAAGTAGGACTTCCACCAAAGCTCGTGAAAGTTAATAAAAAGAAAGAGAGATTGACTTTTGTGCAGCAGATCAGGCCTGTAGTTTATATTTCAGATTCCTGTAAGTGGTGTCTGGGCAACACCTTCACTTTACAATAGCTTGTTTTTAAAAATAAGACCCTCTAGTTCAGTGTAAACTAAAAGTGTAAAAAAAAAAGTGTAAAAAAAGAAGAAATTAAATATAGTTTTACATGCATACTTAACTTCACAATTCAGTTCTGACAAGACATTCTTACCAAAAAATCAAAGTGTTTACATTATGAGAATTAGAATTCCAGGCCTCATAAATGTTTCAAGTACTTATATTTACTTGGTTCAAAAACAACAATACAGAAGGAAACTACATATCTAAATGAGCTTCAAATACTCATATTTACTTAGTTCAAAAACAATACAGAAGGAAACTACATATCTAAATGAGGTTTGCACAGAGAATATATCTGTTAACCTCAGACTCACATAGATGCAACAGAAATAACATCCCACTGTAAGCCTGATAGTTGGAATCAAGATGATAGTAGGGTAATCAGAAAATTTAAAAAGAAAAGAAAAAGACAGATTGCCTCCCTACTTGACCGTGCGTAAAAATTGATACAGCACACGTCAAGCCGCACATACTCTTTAACTAGTTGTCAGTATCCCCAGATGCTGTAAATAACATGCATCGTTTTTCACATTTAGGATAAAACTTTTGCCTCTGTTTACTTGTTTAATAGTTAATATCCTCTTGCATTTGAATATCCAGTTATTTACATTTATACGCATATATGTGCATAGTGCATCAATGTTGCTGGAAGACTCATTTCTATTCTCCCTTAAATCACTGCATGTGGTACAAAAACTGAGCACAGGACTCTTACGATGCTGTGCATATTCATATTCCCACTGATTTCATCTGAGCGCACCAAGAAATCATCGCTTTATCACAACGAAAATTGCCTCTCTCACTTGAGTGTGACAGACCTACTGCATCACCTCTCAAAATTTAGAAAGACCAACAAAAGAAGGGGATAGTCAAGAAAAAAACCTTTGAAGAAACGAAGAAAAAAACCATTCTGTCTTTCTTATCTTCTGTTCACAGAGTGCCAGACTTTGAGGTTCAACAGAAATTTTTCTAGAAGCAGAAAATGACTTGACAAACTTGTGGGAAAATTTGAAGGAGCAGAGAAACTGCTTTACCATACAGCAGCAGACCTTGGAATCTATGTGACATTTACAGAAAGACCAGAGATAGCCACCTTTTTTGCAGCATGGTTTGATTCCATGTTTGTGGCCTGTCCACACTTGTTGCAGGTAGAGAGAAACAGAATGGAGTTTTAGGGGGGTCTTGGGTGGGTGTTTTGGTTGTGGGGGGGGTTTTTTAGTTTAAAAAAAGCTTCTGAAAGATCTAGTTTGGCTTGCTAACACAAACTACAACCACAGAAAAGCAAAATACCCCTAACAAAAACACCGCAATCATGGCCTTCAAACACTCATTTATCTGCATTGCCTTAACAACAGGAGTGTTTTCAAGGTCTTCTCAACTTTGACAATAATTTTAACATTTAACAATGTTAATAATTTTAACAGCTACAGCAGAGATGCCTTAATTTCTTTTCTGGGACTCCAAAGCCCTTTTATGTATGTGAAAAAAGTCTGGCGTTTGGAGACTTTTAAGATTCAACTCTGAGGGCCTTTAATGGTTGCATCTAGAGGCATACTGATAGAGACATCTAAGCATGGACTAGAAACAATTCCAGCAAGACCTTTGCTTAAACTATTAAGAGGTTTGAAAACACCACTTCCTTCTGTGTATATTTGTTTACCAGTAACAGTATGCTTAATGTATAGGACAAATATTTGCACTCCTCCCAATCAACTTCAAGTTTTTCAGTTTAGACTTGAGCAGTTGGTACATACAGCTGTTTAAATATTTCATATTTTATGGCCGTCAGAATCTGCTTTTAAACAACTTACAAGAATCTGAATAGTTTAGATTATTTCCAGACAACTGAGGGCAACAAGGATGATAAACAGTGGGCTTGCTGTGGAATTTTTTTTTTTTTTTTTTAAGCACATATTCTCATTTTAAGCTCCATGTGTTATGCCAACATTTAGATCCAAAACCCACAGAAATCATCAATGTAATGGCACAATTGTGTTGACTTCTGCCAACTACTGAAGAGTGGGAACATGCTGTCATGCCAGCCTGGATTGCTGTCAACTACGAGCTCTAATGCTTGTAGGAAGGGACAGGTTTCTTCTAGAGAACACCTTAGTAGAGAGATTCTGACATCTGCCTCAGCAGGCTGTGCAAACCAACACCTGCAACTATACCACAGATGATTGTCTCAGAAATAAATATATTCTTTAGGGCAGTAATAGGTTTAAGTTATGACTAAGGCCACCTAGAAAAAGCCAGAACGTCCCTGCATAGTGTTTGTTTCTTAAAATGATGAAGAAGGAGCACCAGCTTCAGCTTGGTATTTACCAAAGTAAAGGATACTTACGCTTTTCTCAGTTTTTCAAGGACAATTCGCTTTCTAATCTGCATTTGTGCATTTGAATCAACAAGTGGGAAAGTGAGATCTTCCTGTTGATCATCCTGTATTAGACAAAAAACTTTAACAGCTATAACCTAGCATTTCATTACAGTCAATGCATCAAAATAGTCACAGCTTATCAATAAATGTTTAAACATAAGAAAACTCTTATCTCTGGATAGAAAAAAGCCCCAACCAGTAATTTCTTAACGGACAGAAGTTTGCTTAATGTGACCCGACATACAGTACATACACAACCTACTTTTCCTCTTCCCTATGATAGATACTTCAATTCAACTAATGGTGAATTCCTTCCAAACTTAGTGCAGAGTAAACTTTTTCCAAGAAGCAATGTAATAGCTTTGTTTTACAAGCAGCAGCATTATGAAAATTATACCCTCTGATGTTAATATCACACTTGAACTTTAAAAAAAAAAAGCAATTTCATGTGCCAGTACAAAGTACAACCTACCTAGCCTAGTTGGCATAATGTTTTCACAGTAGTGACAAGGTGATCCGGCTGCTGTCAGCTGGCTTGTCTGACCCGGAAAGACTAAAATCTCAGACCGCTCTATTTCTTGCGGTCTGCAAATCCTCTTTTTCCAAATTGTCTAGATTGCAGCAACGTATCCAAACAAATCAACAGGTCCCAATTCAGAGAATTTTAACAACAAGTAATGCCACAGATCTAGTCTGACTCAAGAGAAGAAAGAAATCCCATCTCAAGTATACCCTGTCATGAATAAAAGGCAAAAAATCATTAAATAAAAACTGTATTAATGAATCAAAGAGGGAGGACAAAACCCCACCAAACATGCTCCCTCCTCACCAAAGTCTACTCTGTCTTACGACTGTTTCACCTAAGTAAAACTTCCTTACCTTCATGCTTCACAAACTGAAAAACAGCTATCAGAATTGAACGGGTCCCAAACAGTCACACAAACTCATTCTTACCATATGAAAATACGATTCCTCAGCCTTATGGGATTGTTGTGAATCTATCCAACCTTCCTTTTACTGTTTTTTTTTACATTAATAGCTTGATGTTACCTTGGCCATTCCACTTATGATGACAGAAACAAACAGCCTGTAATTATTCTTTGAAGGCAGGCTTCATACAGCCTCAATGCTATTCCACTGGACACTTACTTTGTCTTTGCTTGGATGTTCCTCTGCTTGTGCATGTGTCACCGCCTCTTCAGCCAAGACGCACTTTCCTTTATAGAACTCTTTTACTCGGAGTTCTAGGAACTCTGTTTCTTCTTTTAACTTTTCGTAACTAGGCACCGGCTTAACTATTCCACCTGGGCTTGTGAAAGGTAAAGAATAGTTCAGACTGTTTTCAGACTCTCCTACGGCAACAGCGTTAAGATCTTCAGCTGCATCTAAGTCATCCTCATCAAGTTCTTCACTCTCCTGGTGGGCAGATGATACGCATTCTGATGAGCATACAGAAGTGTAGTTTGGGCCATAGAGAAATTTTAAAGTTTCCTCAGTTCTCCATTCCATAAGTGTTTGCTTAAGCACTTCTAATAAACTGCCTTTGGAATTGACTGGATCCCTCAGTTCAGTTTTATGTTCTCTTAAGTTAGCTAGCATTCTTTTAAGATGTTCTGCCCCTCTTTTGCTCACACCTAGAAAAACTATCTGTGAACCGCTACAGGTGTTTTCATAGTTTTCTGAAGCACTTGATTTTCCCACAGTAGTATTTTCTGAAGGCGCTGCAGTTATTTTATTATGAACAGAGCAAGCATACATTTCATCCTGAGCATCTAATTTACAATGAGATAGTCGTTCAGTGGCTTCTACGACATCCGAGTCTTCAGTTTTAGGGCTGGAATAGAATTCCTGAGCATGCTTCTTTTTGAGGATGCTGTTTCTGTGCAGTTGCTTTGCAAAAGTGGCTGAACTTGACTGACTTCCTGGTAGGACAGAAGAAACAAATTCTTGTTCAGTATCACTACTGCTGTCACTGGCTGTGTCATGAGAACCAGATTCACGTGGATTTGAAGGTATCCTAGGATTTTCAATGTCAAAAGCTTTAATCGCTTCATCACATAGTTTCACCTCTTCTCCAGACTGTCCACTGTAACAGAAAATTCAAGCTATCAATGAAGTAAGAAATGGGTGTTACCTGTAATAGCTTTTCATTCTTGTATAAGAAAGATAAATAAAGCGTTTTTCCCTTATAATAGAAGTGTACTTTTTTTGCTCTAAGAATCATGGCTGCTCTTCTAAAAGCCTTCTCGGACTCAAAGAGTTGTAATGTTCTGCAGTCAAGAAGACGAGTATAGACACTATTTAGAGAAGTGAATTCTCAGTTGCTTATTGGCAGTTAGAAAAGAATAGTAAATAAGATATTAAAGACAACAGAATAATGTGAGACTTAGCACGATGAATAGTGCAATTTTAAAATTAAGATAGGCATCTTAACATATATATGAATATAATACACTAAAATCAGGGGGACAACAGAGCTGGTTTTAGCACATGTAAGTTTGCCACCTAATGGACATGTGTTGCAAAAGAAAACAAACAAAGAGTCACAATACACAGCAAGGTACAGAGAGATGACAGAATAGTGTGATTTCATTTTAGCCGATATAGATATTTTAGATTAAGAAGCACAGAAGCTTTCATCACATGTAATTGGTACCATTTTCTTGATAAAGAATAGATGATTTAAAATATGCAAAGTCCAAACAGTGTATTTGTTTCAGATTTCAACAGGCTCAATTAAGACATACAGGACAAGAGCAGCTGTACACTAAATCATACAGATCAAATATGCTGTTTTAGAATCACAAAGGAAAAAACTAAACAAGACAAATAACCCTTTGTGTAGGCTCTAATAAGGTCTTGTCTACAACACAGGAAATCAGAGATTCCCCTTTCACCTGATATGATGCTAATATTTCTAACCGAAAGTGCATATAACAAAAAATTATTGTTCATTGTACCTCTGTCCCTCCTTCAGCAGCTCTATGTCTGGTGGTCTGCAAGAAGAAGATACAGAATGAAGATTTTCCTGCTAAATCAATGCTCTTGAAATACACACTAATACATAAAATACATAGCTGAGGTTGGAAGAGACATCTGAGGATCTTCTAGTCCAACCCCCCCTGTTCAAAGCAGGATTAGTGAGAGCAGGTTTACACATACGCGTTCACAGAGCACGACTTGCGTGCCTGCAGCACGATGCTGTTATGTGGAACAACATTTACAGAATCAGCAAGTCACACAAATGTTAGTCAGAAAGGACCACTGGAGGTCTCTAGTCTGACCTCCTGCTTGTAATGCAATTGTCACCAGCACTAGATTAGGTCAGCCACAAATTTATGAAGTTTAAATCCTGAAAACCTCCAAAGATGGAGATTTCAAAATACTGCTGACTATCCTGTTTCATTCCACCATAACCTTAGTGCAATGTTTTTTTCCCACTGTCTAACCTGAACCATCCATGTGCTAATTTGTGACCATCACCCCTTGTTAAGTTTTCTGCCATCAACCAAGAATAGCTTGGCTCTGTAATCTTTGTAACTTTTTTTTCAAGTAGTTGTAGACTGCTTTCAGATCACCTTTCGGTCTCCTCTTCAACAAAGTAAACATGCCAAGATCCTTGTGTGACACAAAGTTCCTACAGTAAAACAATTCTGGGCCGTCTATAGGAAAACGCTCCAAATTAATGCAAAAAATATGAACATTCAGGATGTCTTTACTTTTTAAAAATTGTACTGTGTTAAAAATTAGGCTATCAAATTATACTGCTTTAGGAAAATGGAGTTCAAAGGTTTCCAGAAACTCTAAGAACCATAACTAAACAAATTCTGATGGGTTTCTTTCCAAAGTTCTCCTTGCAGTTAATCTGCTTCAATTCAGTCATGAGGCAGCATCACAATGCTATCCATTTTATTCAATACTAAATTTTGAAATCCTCACCCATCTGTCCTATGAATGAAAGAAAACCTCTTAAGCATGCACTAAATGCAAGCCAACGCATCAACACCTCTCAGACAGTATACAAAAAACCCCACAGGTTTAAAAAGATGAAAGCTGCACCACTCATATGAATGAATCGAGTTTGGAAACTAAAGGGGATAATATACAATGATTTAAATTACTAACTCCATATAACTCTTCTTCAGAGTTTTAAGTGGAAGTTGTAGTCTTTTCTGTCAGAAGAATTTCAGATATCCTAATGTGTAAACTTTTATCACTGTGTGCACATATATGAGGTTGAGCAAACAGACATACCTAGCCATGAACTATCTGGGGTTTTGTTTGTTTTTTGAAAATACCGCCTTACCTCCCCCTCCCCAGCATAAATAATTAACTATATCAGGCATATCAGAACTATACAGTTTCAATTTTAAGAATAAAGGGAGATTTTAGAAATACTTTCTTTAAAGACAGCAAAACAAGAGCACAAAAATACTGGTAAGCTTACTTAAACATTTAATGAAGAGACTAGTTTTACCTACTAGAATCCCTCAGATCAGATCAGGCTGCTCTAAACCTCTTCTCTCATCCGTCAGGTATTTCATATGACTGATCTGAACTGTGAAACCCAAGCTCACACATATAATTTCAGCTACTTTCTTTTGTTGAAAACGAGAGGACTATGAAAAGTAGTGCCTTTGAGAACAAAAGCTGAATAAATTCATCTGAACAGTCTCTAGGCAAGTATTTATTGTTAAACAGTGACACCCATTGGCTCAATTCATTATTTGCAAGCCTATGTTTCCTAACCTATGAACATGGACCGCATCACGCTGTTCCAAAATGCGTACTGCAGTAACAGCAGGAAGCGGACAATCTGAAATTAAGAGTTTTAGGCAGGATAAAGAAACTCTGCATGTTACAGTTTGCTTTCAGTTGCAAGCATTCCCAGTATAACCTCAAGACCAATGCCAAGTGCTGTGCTAAAATTAGAAGATCTCCTTTAACAGGATAAGATGAATTCATCCTGTACGTTGTATGATTTGTAAAAATCCAATCCTAATAAGTATATTTTAAAGTTAACAGGAGTTGACTATTACTTTTGACTAGTCTGCCCTCTAAACTAACATGGTCACATCTACTCAGTAAACAGGAGTAGTACTGAGTCATGTCAATTACTGAGATCAATATGGCAACACCACTTTCAAAATGAACACCACACTAAGCTAACATGTTAACACCAGTTACCTCTGCTTCAGCCTAATCATTTTGATGCACTGCAGCTAATTATTTAGCATTGCAGCTTGTATAGAGAAAGTAATATTCTCAAAAGCAGCAATGAATGTACAAGGTTATACTTACTTCTCTTCTTCTCGCATCCATACTGGACTTTTAGAAATTTGAGCTTCAAAATATTTAGATGCTTTATAGCAAAAGTTGCTGCAAAAGCACTGGAAATGAGAGAGAAAGCAAGAAAATATGACTAAATACAACTTCAGTACTCATAGAAAGGTACAAAAGCCATTGTTTTTATGCCTGTAAAATTTAAGTACCAATTTACATTTCTTTTTAGGCCTATGACCAGGTTTTTAATTCACCTGAGAAACCAAAACTATGAAATAGGTCTATCCCATTCCCCAGTAGCCACTTGAAGCTGCTTCTTTTTCCCCCACTTTTCTGCTTTTTGCACTCTTTATTATCCCACCAGTGTTGAATTCTACACAACAATAATTAAAAAAAACCCAGAATTGTTCAAAGAGCAATCCCTAACCTAACAAGATGGTCATAAAGACATGCACTAAAATTCAGGTGTTATACACTGAATATTTTGGTTGGTGACAGAACTTGGAAGATTTTGCAACACTCAGAACAACACCTAAAATTCTGCAGTATCTTTGAAAAATTAACTTGCACACTTGCATCAGGGAACAAGACAAAACATCCCACTTCTTCTCGGAGTCTTGCTTACTAGCTTGAGAAATCAATTCCCAGAATTTTCTGTGTCCCAGAGTTGTAAGCAGAGGAAAGGAATGTATACTAATGACACTGAAGAAATTTGTTTTGGAACTAGAAACATTTATCCTACAATTTAGTGTATAAGCACCTGTAGGTGATTGCATAACCTGTGAGCAGGCAAAGACGACTTTTACTCAACCACATGCATGAATATGCTCTAAAGAAAGAAAAAGACTTTGTGAAGAGATAGGTTTTGTGTTGAAAAGTCCTCAGAAAAGAACCCTAAAGGTAGTCACACTAAGGAAAGCATAAGACATAACTTGCATTACACTACTACAAACTTCAGTGAATGAAAAGGATGCACACTTTGACCCTACACTAAAGCTCACTGGCTGTACTGGAGCAAAATAGAAAATACTTCTTCACAAATGTCTTTAACAGATCAGCTGTACCACATTCAAACTGCTATCCAAGTACAACTTTCCATGTTATGTTTAAATTTAGAAAAGAAAGTAAGTGGGGTTTTTGTCTTTCTAAAGAGAGCATCTAGAAACTGAAATGCACAAAAAACTTCATATTCTAACAGTTCATGAAAATTATCTTCATAAAACCCAAACGTATTGGCTCTGAATCAAGCCACTGTATGAATGCTGTTACAAAACGCATTTCTGATGTTGAGACAATATTAAATACATTTTAGAAACAGACTTGTTACCGTACCTTTCTTTCAGTGATATCATAAACTCTGTTTGTTTTTGTTGAAATTCTGTACTTCTGTTTTGGCACCTAAAACAATATGCTTTCATCAGCAAGACTGTTGCTTCCATCATGACTTTACAGAAAACTTCATTCTTAATTCACATATTTTTAATACATGCAATACGTTCTGTTTTAACTGAATTGCATCTATGACCACCTTTTCTCTCAATTCTTTTGATATTGTACCTTCTCAGATGTAAGAACGGCAGTTTATCTCTAATCATTTACATCTCACTATCAGTAAAAGACAACTTCAGATCTACAAGAAAGCTAGCACCGAACATAAAACAATGGAGCTGCCGTGGTAGAAACTTTACTCGAGCATAAGTGTTGGGCAATTTCAGACAGGTCCTTCTTTAATCCATATCTATTTATATGCACATGAGACTGTGCTGTCAGAGGCCCCCACCACTACCCAGACAAACCCTGAGAGGAAATTACATAAAATCCAATACAGTTTCCAAGTGAATTTCTGTGGGGACATATGAAGTCCAAGATGGTAAATTTTTTTGTACTTGAGTAGATTTTTTTCAGATAATCAGATGTACCACAACTGGTATTACATCACAGGTTATCTAACCGAACTCTTGAGTTCTGCTTAAGCTCCGACACACCATACTTAAATAAGCGTGATTATGATTTTGACACAGGTAACACACAGTTTTAGAGCAGATGTATATGCATTCGCATAGTGATACCCCTGCACCGTATTATTTTTTCACTTTAATCCTTCTCAGAGATACGTAGCTACACTGAAGAAGAAACAAGATTAGAAAGTTTCTGCATGCACAAAGGATGGCCATGAAGCCATACCTCATTCATCTTTACCACTGCCAAAGTAGACGCTAACTGATTCTGTCACACAGTAATGGCTGTCAACTGATCAAATTTTACCTTTTACTTCAGAAGGATTACACTGAAATGGAATTACATGATGCCTGGCCCATTACGTGACAGTATTTTAATCTATGTTTAATATTGTAAGTTTAAAATAAAAAAAAAAAATGCGAGAGAATAAAAATCGTGAAGAGATTCTTACGATAACAGCATTAATAAAAAGCAACTTACATTTTCCAGCTTATTTTGACATAGAGGATAACCACATAGTTTGATGATAGACCGTTCATCAACAATGTCTTTATAGTGAGATGGAGTAATAAATTTTCCCTAAAATGACAAGAAAAAAGTTCAGCACAGATACTGGAAAACCTGTCATTTTTCCTACTCAAAACATCTCAAATAACTAAGTATTTTAATTTTATGACAGTTATCTGGTAAGTTTAATAAACAGCATTTAGAACCTACACAGAAAAAATGGTAAAAAGGTAAATAGTGAAAGAAGACAGACAAGGGCACTTCTTTTTACACATAGAAAAGCCTCATAATTTTGCTTCTATTTGCGCCTATTATGATCATTTTCCTCTATTTACATGTTTTGCACACCTATTTACCAGCCTGTTTACAACCTCAACAGGAGTGATCATTACACCATTCCAGCAAAACTGGGCTGCCAGGTAAACTGTGGGGCATTAAAGAGATTTTGTCTAAATTCGTAGATGACGTGACATGGACCTAAATTTTTATACTTCACCTATCAGTCCAGAACCACAGAAGGCATAAACAAAGGCTGTGGTAATAAAGCAAGGATTCATAAATGTATACAGTCCTGCAAAACTAGGCCATGTTTTCACTGCCCACAGAACACATGAAAATAAGGCAATCGTCATCAGAGCTCACAAGAGAGGGAATGAATGATTTGTCTACTTTAAACTGCAGCAAATTGTTCCAGGAACTTTAAAAAAAAGGTTGAATACCAAGATACAAAATAGTATAAAAACGTGCAACACCTACAGAATTCAAAAGGAACTCTTCAGTGATGTTCTCTTCCAGGAGTTGTTCAACAATACACAATGCTTTTTTCTCAAATGCAACCTTCTTTCTTATAGCAGCCTCCAGAGCTGCTTTCCTGTAACAGAACAGACACTGAATGACACAGAAGGCAGATTTCCATAAATGATTCTCCAATCGTATAGTTATCTTTTTTTCTGAAACACAGTAGCTTACATTTTCCTGCATCACACCATGTCAGCCAAACAAAGCAACAAGGAACTGGACTAGGAATTCTGTAACCACCACAAAGGAGTTTCCAGCCTTGGTTTGCTTTATTTCCACCCCAGCCAGGAAAAGTATTGACTCACTGCACCGCAATACTTCCATACGAGGTTACCCAACTCTTCCTGCAAGAGAGGGAAACCCAGAACGGGCTGGACAAAGAGTCTGGGACAAACAACACATGGAGTGTTGCCAAGGAGAATGGGAGCTGGATAAGACATGAGGAGTGGGAAGAAAAAAGGACTGGGACAAGGCTGAGTGTGAGGGTACAAAGTAAAAGAAGGAATAAATCAAACAAATCCCACTATAGTAGATTTCCTGAGTGTTCATGAATCTTGCCACTGTTCTATTGTCAGCAAATACCCAGAGAGCAACTAGGTGTCTCCCATCCCCACTTGGCAGCGCTTCCAACAGAGGCTGTCAATGTGCATTCTGCTGTCTTAAATGATAGAGGGTTACACTATTTACCTGGAAGTCTAGCTCTACCATAGAGTGAAATGAATATTTAGGTAGCTGTCTGGGGCAGAAAGTGGTTTTTTTCCTCTCAAGTTTGATTTTTAAGTGAATAAAGAAAAATGGCAGGTATGCAATGAATTTAAGATGGCAAAAAGCAAGCGCTACAGACTAAGGAAATACAACTGTGGAAGTTAGATTCATATACTTTTAGCATATTATATAATGCACATATTTGCATGCTGTTAGATGTTATACAGCATCACTCCAAACAAGCCTGCGTGATGCTGATGATCTCCTGACGTTAGTTGTGGTACTCAGAAAGCAAAAAAACCACACGAGGCAGAAAATGCGATTTCGAAGTGAGGCAAAACAACATGAACGCCACATATTATAGAATCATAGAATCATAGAATCGCTTTGGTTGGAAAAGACCTTTAAGATCATCGAGTCCAACCTTTAACCTAACCCTGCCATCCCACCACTAAACCATGTCCCTAAGCACCTCATCTATCCTTCTTTTAGATCCCTCCAAGGATGGGGACTCTACCACCTCCCTGGGCAGCCCATTCCAGAGCCTGACAACCCTTTCAGTGAAGAAGTTTTTCCTAATATCTAACCTAAACCTGCCCTGGCGCAGCTTCAAACCATTCCCCCTCGTCCTATCATCTGTTACCAGGGAGAAGAGGCCGACCCCCTCCTCACTACAGCCTCCTTTCAGGTAGCTGTAGAGGGCGATCAGGTCTCCCCTCAGCCTCCTCTTCTCCAGACTAAACAACCCCAGTTCCCTCAGCCGTTCCTCGTATGACTTGTGTTCCAGACCCCTCACCAGCTTGGTTGCTCTCCTCTGGACATGCTCCAGCAATGCAACATCCTTCTTGTAGTGAGGGGCCCAAAACCGAACACAGTATTCGAGGTGCGGCCTCACCAGTTTGCTAGTTAGAAATTTATACCTTTGAGCAGCATCTTCATCCTTCACAGCAGCTGAATGCTTATTTCCTAGAAATCAAATATACAAACGTAGAAATACAGAAATCAGTGTACTTTCTTCCTTTAACAGCAGAAAACATTGGAACCTGAAAAACATTAAAACTGCAAGCATAAGCAAGAGAATTGCTTAGAAACTTGCTTTTGGTGGCTGAGGGTGACCTCAGTAAGCTACTACCCACTCAGCAACTAGTTAGACAGCTTTTTATAAGCCTGAGGACAGGCAGGCCCAGCTCTCTCCACACTCTCATCCATCATGCTCTGTACAGTCAGAAAGCTAAAGCAAACATCATCCTGACACTAACTTTGCACCGACCACACGCAACCTGGTTCTCCACAGGTTCTCCAGCCCAGTTTTACCCCTGCACCCCGCTGTTGGGAAGCGCTGTCCTTTTCGATCGCCCCGCCGCTGGATTTTACCCG